TTTCCTCTTCGTGACCTGCAAACATTTTCCACCTCTTTGTCAGTTCCTCTATCCCTCTTATTTATCTGTCTCGTTCTCGTTATCCTGTCTCTGCTACGTCTTCTATCTCTTGACTGGTTGGGCCGTGCCCCAATCCACACAGTCCTTGTCTCCTCTCTCAATCTTTCCCCTCTTTTGGACTCTCCTCTTCCTCCTCTCCTCACTTCTTGTTCTGCTCCCCCGTTGTATCATCTCTCTCCCCATGTATGGATTGTTCAAAATATATATTGTAGAAGGGTTGGGCGCGGACGGTTTCGGAGATGGATGGAACACGCAGGGTCTGATTGGAAAGGGACGGATGGATAATGATAGGTGCGGAGATAAAGACAAAACAAGAGGTATGTCATATGTTGACTGGTTCTTTACTTGGAAGTGCACGCAATTGCCTTCGTCGCTGACCACGCTCTTCGCCTCTTCTTTGGTTGTCTGATATTTCAGGGGGGGGATATGAAATTGATTTTTATCTCTGAAGCGCGACACTCACGTTCTCCTTCCTCCTCATCTTCGTCTCCTCTTTCTTCCCCTGTCACTTCTTTGTTTCTGATTCCTCTCTCAGCTGTACCCTCTTGTTCTCCGTCTTGTCCTCTTTCTTGTTCTCCCGGATCTTCCATTGGTCTTTCTTCTCCTTCTTCCACAGGCTTGTCCTCTTCTCCTTGACCTCTTCCTATAGACTGACTCCTCATTGTTCTTCCAGTGTTGCTGCTTGAACCTTTGCCCATGTTGTTGTTCTTTGTCCTCAGTCCTGCTGCCTGGATTTTATCGTGTGTCCTTTTCAGTTTGCTCGAAAATGATGCCATCCTTGATTTGACTGTTCTGTTGTTTCTTATCTGCTCAAACTATTTGCAAATTCGAGTTTTGTACCTTGAGAATTGATTGCTACGGGAGTTTGTTTGACTGAGACGTGCTTAGTTTGAGAGAGATAGAACTTTAAGTTTGCATTTTCAAACTTCTCTCTCCTGCGCGGGTGAAAATCTCAGACCCCAAGTTATGGGTTTATACCGGGGTTTGTCAAAACTTGTTCATGGAACTTTTCCTTAAGTCGTGCCTTTGTTAAGAATGGCAAAGTGATGGTACTAGTCCCTTTTGGGAGGAAAGGGATAAGGTTGTCGTGGGCAGCAAGGAGTTGAAGTTGATGAAGTAAGGTGAAAGAGAGAAGCAAGGATTGCTGAGAGAGAGAGACAGGATCATCCAATCGGGCGGTGGTATCAAGTTTCACAATGGCCCCTCAGCCCGATCGGAGAGTGTACAAAGCCCGGTTAAGGTTGTACAAAGCCCGGTTAAGGTTGTACATATCCCGGTTAATGCTAGGACCACCCGGTTATGAGTTGTGAGCCGCCCTGTTGCCAATACAGGTGGCCTACTAAGGCGGTAGAGTAGTTTGGCGCCCGCATTGGCTGCGGCTGCGGCCAAATTTGGCTCTGGTTTGAAATTATCCAAGGGTAAAGTACCAAAAGTTCCGGGCTTTGGAGTTTTGCAAAGTGGTTGCCAAATAGTGGTGTCCTTCTTTTTAACCTACAGTTTCATTTTATTTTTTTGAATTCATATTTGGCACTCTCAAGTTTTTCTAGGTTCAGATCATTTTTTTTCAGTTTAAAATAAATTATTTCATTTCATTTTGAACAACAATGATTTATCTTACTTTATTTCATATAAACCACATCAAGTCTAATCAAACAATTTCAAATTTACATCACACAAGAAAAAAATAAAAAAATAAAGAGATAGAGGGAATAGAACAATTAAAAATTAAGAAGTAAAATAGGGGCTCAAAAAGCAAAACAAATCTAATCAAATTTTAAAGAATAAATCAATAAAATTAAATGAAGTAAAAAGTAATCAATCAAAGCCCAAAATCGAAATGAAAAATCACTCATGAATCAAGCTGAGGACCTAAACCAAATCTTTTGTAGATAGTTGAGATCAAAATTGTATTCAATTAGTTCATTAGATCAATGGTGCGACTTGGTGGATGACAAGGTGGGGAAGATGTGTCAAAAGACTCACTTGAACAAGCTTGAAATGTAGAGTTCTGAGATCAAGGTAGAATGGATTAGGCTGGGAGCGATTAGATTAGAGATAAGAAGATAGAAGAAAGAAGAAATAGATGATGTCATTAGCTAAGAAACAATAGAAAAGGATGAGAAAAGAAGAGGAAAAGAACATACCTTAGTTCAAAAGCTTCAAAATCGAGTTGGCTGAGAATGATTTTAGGGTGGGAAGCGTTCGGAACTGATCGGAACTGGTCTGAGCAAAGAGAAAGAAAGACTTGAGGCCAAGTTGTGGGTTGGGTGTTTGGAAAGGTATAAAAGGGGGTGGTGGTTGGTGCTGAAAGAGGAGAAGATCATTGTGTAGAGATTGTAGTGAATCGATTGAGTGTTTTTTTTTTGCATTGTTTAAGTGTAATAGTGTCTTAGGATTGAGCCAATCGATTTGAAGTGTAGAAGCAAGAAGCCTATCTCAAAGTAGAAGGTCGAAGCAGTTTTTTTTACTAGTTAGTCAGTTAACAATTAAGAGAAGAGTGTTAGGAAGAAAATATAAAAAAGACTTACTTGAATCAAGAATTGAGTGTTATTGAAAGTTGTCTTGGTTGTTGAAGTTGTGGATGAAGGGTTGTGTTATCATTTTATTTTTTTATTTTTATTTTTTAGCGTATAAGAGTCTGTGCTCGAGTCAGGGCTAGGTCAGGGCCAAAAGGAAAGGACTGAACCTGGGTTCAAATCCAGTTCAAGTTGTGAATTTTAATTTTTGTTTTTATTTATTTTTTAATTAAATTGTGTGTGTGGCTAAGTTGTGGGAGGATAAATAGGGTTTGGAAGTTTGGATATCCTTGTACAGGGTAAATTAGGTTTACGGGAAACTTGTAATGGTGGGGTTGTGAAAAATTTGTCTCACGTATTTTTTTAGAACTATCTTTAGGTTGAAGGCAGCTTCACAGCATTGTAGTTTCATCCGTCCTCCTTGACGGTTATTCTTACCTTCTCTGGCTCAGACTACGCTACACTGCGTAGGAGTTCTACAACGTCAAGAGAGAACACACTAGATATGAAGCGGAATTGATGAGACTTTATTGTGCGGGGAAGACTGGTCAATATGAGATGCTAGGAAACACCTATTACGGCTGGTGTGAAAACAACAACACAAGACCGAGAGGATTGAATCTGCTAGATATACCCGGATCAAGTCGTGACAAAGAAGTTTTAGAAGAACAAAAGAATAAGAGGAAAGCAAAAATTCAGGTGGAGGAAAAAGTTAAGAAGGCGGGGAAAAAGATGGGAGAAGCTAGGACACTTTGCATGTCATATCCGGGGACAGACATATCTGACCCATTACCCAATACAATATGAAGACAAAAAAAATCTTGCAGCTCATATTGTATTGCCCAAACAATAACAGCCAAATCAATATGGAATTTGTAGCAAAAGTGCCATTTCAACTGCAATTGGGGTTCAAAGCAGTCAATTTATGAGGTGATCTCATGTCGGTTCAAGCCTGGATATTGTATTGCCAATACCCGACATGAAAACAGGTGCTCCACATGTGGGGTCAGCTGAACCAATATGAGAAAATCTGACTTTTTGTGTCAGATTGCCAATATGATACCAATAAGATATCAACATCTGTGTTGTATTGGTTTGATCAGGCGTTGTTGGGCAAGAATGCAAGAGGCAGGTTATAAAAGGTGTTCATCAGAATTCAATCAGAAAAGGATCAAGCAACAAAGGGAGCTCAAACAAAGTAGTTGAAGTGCGGATGGTGAATTGTGACCAAACAACGAGTTTGGAAAACCTTTGCAACCTTTTTATAATCATTCAAGTTCATCCATTTATATTATGAACAAATATTTTTCTATGAGTTTGGACATTATCATTACAAATCTTTGTTCACTTAACTAACTTGTGAGCAAAGTCATTGACCTGTTGACTGAGGTGGTTGAGTTGAGTGACAAATATCTGAGCAAAGTTGTAATCCGTGGACTGAGATGGTTGATGTGAGTGACAGATATAGTCACTCAAATAAACCATCTCACTCAACAGGTGAACAACTTTGCTCTTGTCACTCAACCCAACCACCTCAGTCAACAGGTCAATGACTTTTCTCACAAATGAGTTAAAGTTTATCAAAATGCCTGACACCCTTTGTGTTCTACAAGCAGAAGTTTTCTGTGAAAATTGATTTAGAAAGAAAGTCAAAACACAAAGGGGGAGTACAATTTGAATTACAAAACTCAAATGATTATACTCTCATTATCAGAAAAACCTATCCCATGTTTTTGGAAAGTTGAAGATGCACCACCAGCTTACTGTTCAGCAAGAACAACAAGCGGAATCTGTCCGTGAAGTTTGTTTCACGGACAGATCCCGCTTGTTATTCTTGCTGCACAGCAAGTTGGTGACATGCATCTTCATCCTTCCAAAAACAGGGGACAGGCTCCCCGGATAATAGGAGTATAATCACTCAAGCAAGAGTTTGATGAACACTCTGATGAAGCACTTATCATTACGATTTTTGTTCACTCAACTAACTTGTGAGGAAAGTTATTGACCTGTTGACTGAGGTGATTGAGTTGAGTGACAAACACATATTTTGTCAACAAAGACATGTTTTGTCACTCAATTCAACCACCTGAGCCAACAGGTGAATAACATTGCTCACAAGTGACTCGAATGGTCAAAAGTCCTGACACATTTTTCATTCTACAAGCCAAATTTTTCCTTGAAAATTGAAGTAGAGAGAGAGGCAAAAAACCAAGGGGAGGAAAAACTGGATCCCAAAACCACACTCTAACTCAACAAAAAAAACCCAAAAGGAATGGGTTCTGATGATGCCTTATCACCTTGTCAACCATCAAACTCTGATCAAGCACTTGTGTCTTTCATGGACCCTTCAGCATCTTATCTATTAGTGGAACTGCAGTCTATTGCAGACGCGCCAAAAAACCAAACAAGGTCTTATCAGAATCATTGAAGATCATCTGAGAAGATCTTGATTTGTTTTTTTGATGCGCCACAATGGACTGCATTTCCAGTAATAAATAACACACTGGAAGGTTCATGGAAGGATCAAGTCCATGATCAGTGTTTGATGAACAAAGAGGTGACAAAAGATAAGTAGAACCCATTGATGGTGCCATATTTGGAGTCTGGAGATGGACATGGCAAAGTGATAATGAAAGAGGAAACTGAGGAACACTGAAGTATGAGGTCAAATCAGACATGGTATAGAAGACAAACAGTTGCAGCGGCCAACTTGTGGTATGTGCACATATGCTTATGGTGGTCACATGACTCACAAACCCTAACCTCTAGCCATACATTCTTCTCAAATTAGTTATACTTGGTTCAAAGACCTGACACATAAGAACCAGTGGCGTGTTCTCTTATAATGACATCATAAATCAAATAAGCAACCTGAATTAATATGAAATCAATTGGGAAGAAGTGTAGCAATTGCAGTCAGAGCATCATCAAGCTTTGCAGAGCTGGGTGATATGCCCAGGGCCAGTTTTTCGAGGGGGTCATAGTGCTTCAAGAAAGAACTGCCATGACAGTTTTCTGGAAGGTTAGCACAGACAGTTCCAAAGGGGTTGACTGTATGGCCTTCTTGACGCCTAGTATCCAGTCTGCAGGCGGGATGAATCCTTAGCTTGATAGTGGATTGATGTTGATAGGATAGCCGGTCAACTTCATGTAGCCAGTTGCCATACTTGACGCTCCGCCATGCTGGACAAATTGAACGTTGGATTGGTCTGTGCGGGTCCTTGTAAGGTCTTTGAAGACCTTCACTGGGGGTCCGGAGA